TTTAACAGCCGAATTGATCAAGCAGAAGAAAGGATATCAGAGGTCGAAGACCAACTCAATGAAATAAAACAAGAAGACAAGATTAGAGAAAAAAGGATAAAAAGGAACGAGCAAAGTCTCCAAGAAATATGGGACTATGTGAAAAGACCTAATCTACGCTTGATAGGTGTACCTGAATGTGACGAAGAGAATGAATCCAAGCTGGAAAATACGCTTCAGGATATTATTCAGGAAAATTTTCCCAACCTAGTAAGGCAGGATAATATTCAACTCCAGGTAATACAAAGAACACCACAAAGATATTCCTCAAGAAGAGCAACTCCAAGTCACATAATCGTCAGATTCACCAGGTTTGAAATGAAGGAGAAAATACTAAGGGCAGCCAGGGAGAAAGGTCAGGTTACCCACAAAGGGAAGCCTATCAGACTTACAGCAGATCTCTCAGCAGAAACCCTACAAGCCAGAAGAGAGTGGGGACCAATATTCAACATCCTTAAAGAAAAAAAGTTTCAACCAAGAATTTCACATCCAGCCAAACTAAGCTTCATAAGTGGAGGAAAAATAAAGTTTTTTGTGAACAAGCAAGCACTCAGAGATTTCATCACCACCAGGCCTGCTTTACAAGAGCTTCTGAAAGAACCACTACACATAGAAAGGAACAAACAGTATCAGCCTTTCTAAAAAATACCAAAAAGAGCATCAATATAATGAAGAATTTACATCAACTAATGGGCAAAATAGCCAGCTAATATGAAATGGCAGTATTAAACTCACATATGTCATTATTAATTCTAAATTTAAATTGACTAAATCCCCCAATCCAAAGACAGGCAATTTGAATAAAAAACTAAAACCCATCAGTATGCTGCATCCAGACCCATCTCACATTTAAGGATACACAAAGACTCAAAACAAGGGATGGAGAAAGATTTACCAACCAAACAGAGAGCTAAAATAAATAAATAAAAGGCAGATGTTATAATTTTTGCCTTTGATAAAATAGTCGTTAAAGCAACAAAGATCAAAAGAGGCAAAGAAGGACATTATATAATGATAAAAGGATCAATGCAACAACAAGAAGAGCTAAAGATCCTAAATATATACGCACCCAATACAGGAATACCCAGACATACAAGACTAATAAAGAGACTTAAACTCCCACACAATAATAGTGGGAGACTTCAACCTTAATATTAGACAGATCAGTGAGACAGAAAATTAACAACGATATCCAGGATTTGAACTCAGATCTGGAATAAGTAAACGTAATTAACATTTATAGAACTCTCCACTTTAAATACACAAAATATACACTCTTATCGGTACCACATCATATCAATTTAGAAGTTTAAATGAAATGTTGGTTGGCTCCTTGTTCGTTATTCTCTTCCCTCATTTTCTTTTATGTCTCCATTATTAAGGACAATTATAGGCATACCCATATTTAGACTGCATTCTAGCCAGGGCAATAAAGCAATACCCCCATCCTCTCTCCCTCTTCCTCTTTCTCTTTCTTCCTCTTCTTTATTCTTTTTCTTATTATTAAAAAAAAAAAACTTTCTCTACATAATATTCTGCCTAAGTCACAGTGGGTCATAGAGGGTAACTCTTAAACTCTTTAATTCTGTTGCTATGTCTGTAAAATGACCAGTTGGACTAGCCGATTTCACAGCTTTCTTTCAAGATATGACATTCTCTGGGTACAGCCTTTAGGAATAAACTTTCTTTAATTGTCACAAGACCACACTTGGAGAGGACTGGCTGGAAAGAGGAAGGGGAATTCACAGCGTCAGGGAGGTTCAGGCTGTGTTGTGTTTATGCATCTTACATTTGGAATCAGAATAAATCAGTAACATTTTTACAAAATACCATAAATTATATTCTACTTAAACTTACTTAATCGGAAATAAGTTCAGTAGATCATGAGATGGAAGGGGAGCAATGTGAATGGGTGATATAATAACATATTTTTATACGGAATGAAAAAGTAATTGCAGGATGCATACAGTATAATGATACATAACATTTAAAAGCTCATGAAACAATATGTTGTTTTTGGATTATATATAATGTCCAGATTGCTTCATGATATGGTCTATCTGTCCTTTAGCCAGGTCTGTCTCCTGCCATTTTTTGCCTTACATGTGTTATCTAGTCAGACTGACCTCATTTCAGTCCCCCAAACTTACCATGTTCTTTCCTACCTCTGCATCTTTGCACATGCTGTATTCTCAGCTTGGAATGCTACCTTAATCCCCCATCCTAAGCAGTGAAATCATTTTTCTGATCTATATACTGTCTCCCTAGTTTTCAGTTGAGAAGTCGTTTCCTCCAGTGTCGTTTTCTGAGCCCATACATCTGGACTGATGTTCCCAATATTTGCTTTCATAGCACCTTCTCTTTTCTGATCACACTGCTGACGACAAACATTATACATGATCCTTGCCTTAAAAAAAAAAAGAAAGAAAGAAAAAGAAAAAAACAATTTCAGCTTGGTGACAGTGAGACCTTGTCTCGAAAAAATAAAATAAATTGACTCCCTAGCTGTTTATGGAATAAGTATGGGGAGCCCTGGTCAAGGGCTGACTGAGACCGGGTGGAGAGGGGAGCTAGGAGCTGGGAGGCGGGGCGTTCCATCATCCACAGATCCTGCAATCACCAAGAACGAAAATGGTCCCACTGAGGGAGGCACAGGAGCTGGCATGCCGATGGTGACCCAGGGGGTCAGTGGGACCAGTACACAGGCCAAGGCCTCTCTCCCCTCCAAGCCTTTATTTATTTTGAGATGGACCCTCTCTCTGTCACCCAGGCTGGAGTGCAGTGACATGATCTCAGCTCAGGAAACCTCTGCCTCTTGGGTTCAAGCGAGTCTCATGCCTCAGCCTCCTGAGTAGCTGGGATTCCAGGGACATACCATCACACCTGGCTAATTTTTTTGTATTTTTAGTGGAGTCAGGGTTTCACTATGTTGGCCTGGCTAAGGCCTTTAAGCTCAGAATTCCTTTTGCCTGATAGCTCCCCACAACCCTTGGTTCTGGAAAGCTGCTGCTCATTCCTCAAGAGGTCAAGGTCATCTCCAGAACCCTGTTCTGACCCCCTGCCTGGGCCCTGGGATGTCCTCTGTGCCCCCAAGAGCTCTGTACTGGTCTGAGCATCCCAGGGGCACCCACTTTCCCCAAGTGGGGTTCCCAGGAGGGCAGAGTCTGGCTACCTGGGCTGCCATGGATCTGCAGATCTGCAGAAACCCCACCCTGATCCCCAAGGCAGGCCCAGGAGACCGAGGGGACAAGGGCATGAGACCAGCACACACTTGGAGCCCAGCTGTGTGGTCCTGAGCGGGAAGTTCTCTTATCGTTCACAGGCCTGAGGGGGTGGCTTTAACTGGGGTCCCTCTGTGGTCCAGTCACAACACAGGCCGGCCAGACCCCAGGGACCATGACCCCATCTCCCCTTACACAGGGGTGGCAGAGAAGCAGGACCACAGACAAACCCAAGCTGAGACCCCAGGCAGAGCCAGGGGTCAACGTGTAAAACAAACAACTTTATTGATAAGCGGGAATGCTGTCCAGCATACAGTGCAAACTCTCATTGTCTCATCAACACACGCAAGGGAACTGAGGCTCCAGAGTCTCCAAATTCATCGCTGCCCAGCTCTGCCCATGATGCCAAGGAAGCCCGAGGTTCTCCCAGGACTGTCCGCCAGGGGGCAGGTGAACTCCATCGCGTCCTCATGTGGGTCCAACATGGGCAGAAAACTGGCCAGTCCCGGCAGTCTGACTTTTTTTCTTTAAGAGACAGGGTCTCACTGTTGCCCAGGCTGGAGTGTCGTGGCGTTATCATAGCTCACTGCAGCCTCAAACTCCCAGGCTCCAGTGATCCTCCCCTCAGCCTCCTGAGTAGCTGGGACTACAGGTGCGAGCCTCTGCAGCCAGCCAGTCTGACATCTTTATTCCAGGGTGGAAAACTCTTCTAGTCTCCATGGTAATGGCTGGACTCTCCCACCCTCCAATGGTTCAGCTGCCAAGCTCAAGTCCAGTGGAATTTATCAGTAATTCACCCTGCCCTGCTCTTCTAGAGAGACTATTCCATGCCTTCTCCTTTATCCCCAGGCACCTGAGACTGAGCCAGCCTTTCCAGGAGCCCCTCAACCTGCTTCCCCTCAGAATCTGGGTTAGGCTACACTTGCTCCCCCTCTGCAGAGCCCTGGGCATGTGTTTGGGGAGGGGAGAGGGAAGGCTGACTCTAACGGGGAGGAATACTGGCTTCAGCGGCTTCAAGGTGGGCCATTCAATTTACCGACCTTGGCTACACACACTCACAACACACAACACAGACACAGACACAGACTGGCACTTGGGATTCACACTGGCCATGTACCAAAGTGGTGGGGCAGCCCCGCTGGGGCCAGGGCGTTCGGGGTGGGGAGTGGGAAAGAGGAGCCCACCCCTCTGGAGGCAGGAGGAGGGTCTGGGCTGAGGTAGGAGGAGAGAGATGGCTGCGAGGACTCAGTCATCTCTAGTTCCTGAAGTTCCCTGAAATGAGACGGCGTGGCCCAGACCACCACCCCGGAGAGCAAAGGAGGAGGGGCGGGGCTGTGGGCACACTGGACGGAAGGTGCAAACAGCAGGCGAGGGGCTGGATGTGGCTGGCAGAGTCTGGCTTTGTTCGTCGTTGGCTTGTTGGCCTGCGTGGTACTTCCTTTTTTACAAAATTGGCAGACTTCCAGTTAGGAGTGCGTTATCTTGCCCAGGCAAGGCACTGAATGTGGGGGCCTGCCTGGGCCCTCTGGGCATCTGATTTTCAGACCATGGTACGAAAGGACAAGCTGGCATTTGGAGGTGGTGCTTCCTTTTGGAGGTGGGGGGGGAACAGTCTTGCTCTGCTGCCCAGGCTGGAGTGCAGTGGCACAATCTCGGTTTCAGGGTTCAAGCAATTTTCCTGCCTCAGACTTCTGAGTAGCTGGGACCACAGATGCCCGCCACCACGCCCGGCTAATTTCTGTATTTTAAGTAGAGACAGTTTCACCATCTTCCAGGCTGTTCTCAAACTCCTAACCTCAGGTGATCCACCGCCTCAGCCTCCCAAAGTGCTGGGATCACAGGTGTGAGCCACTGCGCCCGGCCTGAGGTAATGCTTTCCAAGCCTCCTGAGCTAACCTGAAGGACCCCGTTCCCTACAGGGCGCCACCTCCTCCCTGCACAGGGCCCCGGGACCGTCCTGCAGTCTCAGCATCAGGCCAAAGCACTGTCTTCTTTTCACGGGTGACGGAGGCAGCATCCCTCCTCTCCAGAAAGCCCCTCCGCGAAGAAGGATGCCGGGGTTTTCTGGAAGCCAGAACTGGGTCAGAGCCCAGAGGGAGAAACAAACACACGAACAACCCAAGGGCTCCAGAAGCCAAGCTCGTAGGTCCAGTTGGGCGGGGCAGCTCACAGAGAGGCAGGGACTCGCCCCGGGGTGCCCTGAACGTCCACGCCCAGCCAGTCTTCCGAGAGGGACACACCGAGGCAGCAGAGGCGTTCCAAAACTCGCTGCCTCTGCTCTCGGCCTGCAGGTCAGAGGGAGGCTGCAGCTGTGGAGGGTGCTAAAGGAACTCGGCCCCAGAAAGAGCCCCGGACTCCTAGTGGTGGGGGCCTGGAAGGACCAGGGTCCCTTCCCAGGGTCATCCTGCCAGGGCTTGGCCCGCCTTGGCTACGACGCAGCTCAGACCAGCCTGGTTAACTGGGCTTCATCCCCGCATCGGGCACGCCGAGGGGCAGGGGCTTCTCTCCGGTGCTCTGCAGCAGGGTCTCCGGTGTCTCCAGCCGAGACGGAAAGGCGCACTCCTCCTTGGAGAAGGGGACCTTCTCGTCCTTCGGGGAGCCCGAGGGGCTGGCATCTGTGGACCCCGTTGTGGCGCTGGCCTGAGAGGAGCACTGTGAGCTGTGGTCGGAACCGCTACAGACGTTCACGATGCAGGTGACATTGACCTGGGTCCCATGGCCACCAGGGGGAGAATCTGCTAAGCACAAGATGGGGCAGGGGTCAGTCCAGGGGTCCCAGAGAGGGGGATATCTCTGGGACCGCTGCCCAAGATGCAGATTCAGACACATGGAAAAGAGCACTGGGCCAGGAGCCAAGAGACGGAGAATCTAGCCCAGCTCTGCTGAGTGACCTTGAGCAAGTCACTTCACCTGCGTGTGCCTCATTTTTCCCTTTGCTGAATGAGAATAGCATCACCACCTACCCAGCCCCAATCACCCCAGAGATGGGAGGAGCTAATTATATAAGACAGCTGTCTACTGGGGAGGCCAAGGCAGTAGGATGGCTTGAGCCCAGAAGTTCCAAGACCAGCCTGGGCAGCATAGTGAGACTCTGTCTCTGTCTCTGTCTATTTATTTTCGGCTTTCTGTCAGTGAATCTTTATTTTTTAAGACTGGATCTCAAAACAGTGCAGTGTCGCTGTCTAGACTCACTGTGACCTCTGCCTCCTGGTCTCCAGTGATCCTCCCACCTCAGCCTCCTGAGTAGTTGGGACTACAGGCCACCACACCCTGCTAATTTTTTGTAGACACAGGGTTTCACCAGGTTGCCTGGGCTGGTCTCGAACACTTGACCTCAAGGAATCTGCCTGCCTTCAGGCCTCCCAAAGTGCTGAGATTACAGGTGTGAGCCACCATGCCCGGTGTCAAACTTAACTTTTTAAAAAAATTTTATAATTTTTTTTTTTTAATAGAGACGGGTTTTCACCATCTTGGCCAGGCTGGTCTTGAACTCCCGACCTCATGATCCCCCCACCTCGACCTCTCAAAGTGCTGAGATTATAGGTGTGAGCCACCATGCCCAGCCTCAAACTTAACTCTGGGTTGTACTCCCATCTCCCATCCAACCCGCTCCTGCTCGTCTCGGGGTTCATTGCTGCCATCCACCCAGCTGCTTAGGGTCCAGAGCCTCAGACCCATCTTTCTCTCATACCCCACACCCAACAGTCATTCCTGCCTGTCTCCCTTCAAAAGATGACTTATGGGCCAGGTGTGGTGACTCACGCCTGTAATCCCAGCACTTTGGGAGGCCAGGGTGGGTGGATCACTTGAGGTCAGGAATTTGAGACCAGCCTGGCCAACATAGTAAAACCCTGTCTCTACTAAAAATACGAAAAAAAAAAAAAAAAAAAAAAAAAAAAAGATAGCCGAGCATGGAGCATGGTGGCAGGTAACAACAATTCCAGCTACTCAGGAGGCTGAGGCAGGAGAATCGCTTGAAGCTGGGGTGTGGAGGTTGTGGTGAATCGAGATAGTGCCACTTCATTCCAGCCTGAGTGACAGAGCCAGACTCTATCTCAAAAAAACAAAAAAGAACAAAAACAAAACCAAGATGACTTCTGCAAGCCCCCCCCCACCATCACTACTGCACGGTGTAGGGAGCTATGGAAGCCTCCAGCCGCTCCCACCTGGACGGTGTGAACAGCCTCCACCTGTTCTGGCTTCGGCCCCACCCCTCTGAAGTCTGTTCCCCATCAGCAGCCAGAGCTGGCCCTGGAACTTGGCAGATCACTTCCTTGGTGACTCAAAAACCCACAGTCCTTGCCACAGCCTACCAGGCCCTACCTGATCTGGAGTCTGCCTTCTTCCGCCCCCTCTCCTGCTGCTCCAAGACCTTGATGGGGTTCCTTCCAGCCACACTCACCTCCCGACAGCCCCTTGAGCCCTTCAGGTCCCCTGGGCCTTTGCACAGACTGCTCCCTCAGCCTAGAGACCTCTTCTCTAGTGCTCAGGCATTAGCTCAAAGGCCACGTCCTCCACAAAGCCTCCCCCTGCTGCCCCCAGCCTCCCTCTCTAGAGACATGTACTTCCCATCCTATCTACCACTCTCCAGGCCCCTCCCCATTTCTGTGATCTCCAGGGCCCCCAACTCCTGGGGTCCCCACCAGACTCTGAGCCCCGGAGGATAGGGACTTTTTTTCTTTTTTTTTTTTTTAAATAGAGACAGAGGTCTTGCTATGTTGCCCAGGCTAGTCTCAAACTCCTGGGCTCAAGTGATCCTCCCGCCTTGGCCTCCTGAAGTGCTGGGATTACAGGCATGAGTCACCTTTCCTGGGCAGGCCAGGGACTTTTTGACTGTTTCCTGCTGTGCTTCTACAGGAATGTTTTGTTCTTGGTGATGTTTTTAAGTGAATTGATTGCCAACATTTAAAATTCAGGCATACATTTAAAAACCTGGATTTATGGCTTCCCTTGGGAGGCAGGTGCAGGAGATCCAGCCCAGGAGAGTCCAAGCTTTGCCTCACCCTCCCATCCAGCCCCCGTGGGCAGCTGAGTTTTCTAAGGCTGGGGAGTCACTGGAGTGTGGATTTGCCTAGATGAATGGAGAGGAATGTGAGGGCCCTGGCACACAGTGGCCCCCTCAGAAAATGAGAGTTGCTGCTGCTGCAGGGACCCGCTGGGTGCCCTCACCCCAGTCTGCTTCCCCCTAACTCCAACTACCTGGGAGCTGGGGAGGCAGACGGAGATGGAGACCAGCTGTGCTCAAAACAGCCCCAGGAGGTGATGGGAAGGAGGGCTGAAATCACAGGCCCAGAAGGAAATTTCCGCCCTGAGCCTCCACAGCACCCAAACGTCACCTAAAGTCACCATGGCCTTTGCACATCGAGCATGAGACATTGCGGGGGTGGATGGGGGACCACAAAGGGGCACAGCCCTGGGCTTTACAGGTTTCCACCGTGAAGGCAGGTGTGAGGGCTGGGAGGGAGGAGAGGGCGGAGGCCAGGGAGACAGGTTGGGGGACTCGGGAGAAGGAACACAGAGCAGAAGAGGCAGAGGGGAGAGGGGAGGGCACACGTTGTCGGGGCTTTACCCTGGGCCAAGGAGGAAGCCACACCAGGTGTAGCTAAGAAATCAGAAAGATGGGCCGGGCACAGGTGGCTCATACCTGTAATCCCAGCACTTTGGAAAGCCAAGGCAGGCAGATCACCTGAGGTCAGGATTTAGAGACCAGCCTGGCCAACACAGTGAAACTCCGTCTCTTCTAAAAATAGAAAAATGAGCCGGGTGTGGTGGCGCATGCCTATAATCCCAGCTACTTGAGAGGCTGCAGTGGGAAGATCACTTGAACCCAGGAGGTGGAGGCTGCAGTGAGCAGAGAAGTAAGTCACGACTGCACCACTGCACTCCAGCCTGGGTGACAAGCGAGACTCCATCTCAAAAACAAACAAACAAAAAAAAACAAAAAAAAAAACATCTGGCCAGGCGGGGTGGCTCACGCCTGTAATCCCAGCACTTTGGGAGGCCGAGGCAGATGGATCACCAGGTCAGGAGATCAAATCCATCCTGGCCAACACAGTGAAACCCCGTCTCTCCTAAAAATACAAAAATTAGCAGGGAGTGGTGGCTGGTGCCTGTTATCCCAGCCATTTGGGAGGCTAAGGCATTAGAACCACTTGAACCCAGGAGGTGGAGGTTGCAGATCGCTGAGATCAAGCCACTGCACTCCAGCCTGGTGACAGAGCAAGACTCCATCTCAAAAAAAAAAAAAAAAAAAAAAAAAAAAAAAAAAAAATCAGATGAATCCAAGAACTGGACAAAGACTAAGAGTTTATATTTGGAGCGCATTCATTCATTCATTCATTCAACAATGTTTAGGGCCCCTGCTCTTTTCCAGGCACTGGCGCAGGGCATCCCACAGGGAGTTCTCAGGCTGGAGTGAGGTGCACTGATGAGACACCCCACCGAGGAGCCTGGGGCTATGATGGGGCACACCGAAATGGGCACATAAGCTCCTGCGGGCAGCTGGGGACAGGTAGGAACAGGTGTTGCAGGCAGAAACGGAGGTTTGGCAGGGTTAAGCATCCTGCCCAAATTCTTATGGCACCAGCGTGGCTGGGCAGGGAGCTGAGAATGAACCCAAGTTCATGGTTGTTCCCTGAATTCTCACTACCTGGTGCTGCCAGGTAAGAGGGAGAGAGGCATGGCCCAGCAGACCCCGTCCAGGGGGCCCTTCCAGTATGGGCCCGAGATATGCCAGCCAGGAGTGACATGTGTCACAGACCAGGTCCAAGGCAAAATGCAGCCTGCAGAAAGTGGACGTGGTCCCCACAATCCCAGTGCCTCAGACCCAAAGGGACTCAGCAACAAGCTGCAGTGAGTGGAACCCTGCGGCCATCATTTCCGCATTCATCTTCCAACCCCAGGGCTCCGGAGCCCCACAGCCTAGGGGTGAGTCTGGCTCTGCTGTTTATTAGCCGTGTGCCCTTGAAGAAGCTGTTTAACCTCTCTGGGCCTCAGTTTCCTCATCTGTGAAATGGGGATAACAACAATATCTCTTAGCATTGACACGCAGGTCAATGTTATGCATGTAAAGCGCCCGGTATAGTGCCTGCTGTGCCATAGACTTCAGGAAGCAGAAGCGATGGTTAAGGTTAATTACTAGTAGCTTGGCCGTGTTAGGCCTGCGGATTCGGGGATGAATGAGACGATGCAGGCTCACCAGGTGTCCCACAGCCTGGCAAGGGAGACAAGGAGGAGACAGTATCTGTACAGACAGTCTGACAGTTCCTCAAAGGGAGGCCAGGGTGTGGCGAGCCCGGAGGAGCAGCCAGCTGGGGATGGGGGCGGGGAGGGGGTCTCAGGAAAACTCCTCTCCCAGATACTGGGGATGGACAAGCTGGGATTGTCCCAGAGAAGGGAGGATGTTCTGATGATAGGCCCAGCCTGGGCAAAGGCGGGAGGGAATTTGGGGTCAGCAAACTGAAGACAGTTCCCTGTGGCTCAGGCCTCGTCCCGCCCTGCGGGGAGGCTCGGGAGGAGATGGCTAAGACAGAAACCAGGTGAGAAAAACCAAGGAGGCTTGGAATGAAGCCAGATGTGCTTCCATCTCTTACCTGAGCTCCCGGTGCTGGCCCGGGCCTCCCCGGCTCCGCTGGCCTTCCCCACGCCTCCTGCCGGCGGCTGGTTCTGGGTAGGTACCCTCCTGTCCTGAAGCGCTGGCTGAGCTCTCCAGGGAGCTGCTGCTGGAGCTCGGCGCTGTGGTCAGCAGGTGCTGCTGCTCAGGGCCCTGGGCACCCCGAGCCTTATCAGAAGGCAGGTGAGGCTGGATGGTGGGGGTAGCAGGGGAGAGTGGTCAGCCCACCAGCCAGTTCCTTCTTCCTCCCCTCCTTCCCACTGGCATCTATACCTCTTGCCCCTGCACTTCAGAGTTTACATGACACTTCTGCACATCCTTTCCACACACGGTGCTTTTTGGGAAGTGTGATTCTCCGTGGTTTCTGTGTTTCTGTTATTAGCACCTAGCTGCTCTACTGGAGTGAGTGCCCCATGAGGGCAGAGACCACCTGGCCCTGTTCACCAAATCGTCTTAGAGGTGGGGCAGGATTTTCATCCTCACTTTGCCTAAGAGAATAGAAGGAAAGCCACTTTCCTTCACCCCATCTGCACAGGGAGACAAGGCCCAGCCTAGCAACCAAGAGTGTGGACTCTAAACCCAGCCCACACAAGTGCTAATCATGACGCTACCACTCACTTGCTGTGTGACCTTGGACCAGTTATTTAACCCCTCTGTGACTCTTTTTTTTTTTTTTCTTAAAAATTTTGATTCCTAACTCCTCCCAAATCTTTTTTTTTTTTTTTAAATCTATAAAGGGAGAATCACAACTTACCTCATAGGGTTGTTGTGAAGATTAGATGGCTGAATATTTGTAAAGTGCTTAAAACAATGCCTACTACCTAGTAAACCCCATGCAAGAGTTTGTTAAATCAGAAGTAGGCAAATGACTGCCCAGGAGCCCAATCCAGCCTGCCACTAAGAATGGTTTTCACGTTGTTTTTTTTTTTTGAGACAGGGTCTCACCCTGCTGTTCAGGCAGGAATGCAGTGGCACAATCATAGCTGACTATAGCCCTCAACTTTCCAGGTTCAGGTGATCCTCCTGCCTCAACCTCCTGAGTAGCTGAGACCACAGGCACGTGCCACTGCTCCTGGCTCATTTTTTGTTGTTGATTGTTTGTAGAGACAGGGCCATGCTATGTTGCCCAGGCTGGTCTTGAACTCCTGCGCTCAGGCCTTCCTCCCACCTCGGACTCCCAAAGTGCTGGGATCACAGGTGCGCACCACCACACCCCATTGGTTTTCATGTTTTAAGTGGTTGAAGAAAAAGGTTTAAGAATAATTTGTGGCTGGGCGCAGTGGCTCATGCCTGTGATCCCAGCACTTTGGGAGACCGAGGAGGATGGATCACGAGGCCAGGAGTTCAAGACCAGCCTGGCCAACGTGGCGAAACCCCATCTCTACTAAAAGTACAAAAATTAGCCAGGTGTGGTGGTGCATGCCTTTTAGTCCCAGCTACTTGGGAGGCTGAGGAAGCAGAATTGCTTGAAGCCAGGAGGCAGAGTGGGCAGTGAGCCGAGATTGCGCCACTGTACTCCAGCCTGGGCGACAGAGACAGACTCTGTCTAAAAATAATAATAATAATAATAATAATTTGTGACACACAGAAAGTTTGGTGTCCAGTAGCACAGTTAGATCGGGACATGCCACTCTGACTTGGGCATGCAGCTGCTTTCCCGCTACAGAGGTGGGTTTGAGTCATCGGCACTGAGACAAGACAGGCCACAAACCCTAAAATTTCTCCCATTTGGCCCAAACAGAGTGAGAGTACGGACCTTTCTGCTCAGTCACTCCAGGGCAGAGAGCTGTCGCATTTGAGACCCTCTGCTGCACTGCCTCAGCCTCCCATTCCAGAGTCGTCCACAGGCTGCTCTGAGACTTCCCCTAACATCTTCTTCCCATATAATAATAATAATAATAATATTAGCTGATATTTGAGCGCCACCCAATGCCATGCACCGTACCTAAGTCCCTTCAGATACTATCTATATGGATTCTTCCAACAGCCCAGTGTTATCACCGCTTTGTGGAAACTGAGGCACAGAGAGGTTAAGTTACTTGCCCAAGGTCATGGTGAGGACACACCATGGCTGGGCTAAATCCTACAGTGCCTTTCCTGGGTGTCTGGGCTTTCAGCTCTGGAGGCTCAAGGCAACGTCCCCATTTCCAGACGCCCACGCTGGAGAGAGGCTGGAAACTCCTCTCCCAGGCTGTTGTCTGTTCCCAGTGACTGGCCAGGTGCTCGTGCCCTTGCCTGGGAGTTCTGGGAGCCTGCCAATCCCGGCAAAAAAGGAGATGTCAGGGGCCACTCTCTCAATGGCTTCCCCAGCCCCTGGCCTGCCCAGGATGGAAACAAGTTCCCAAGCAGAAGGAGGGTAGAGATGAGTGAAGGGCTGATGAGGCGAGAGGGAGGCGAGGGGGGTGGCATTTGCTGCAGGGGTGGAGAGAGCAGCACAGGCACCACAGTCCCCCAGGAAACGCTGGGGCCTCCTGCCTTCCTCCAGAGGGAGCTACCATTCCGGATGTGGTCTGATAATAGATGTGAGTGTCAGGTCTCCTCTGCTCAATCACTGCAGCCCCAGCTCCCATGGCTTCTCTGACACCTGAGTGCCACCTGCACTCCCAGTTCCCAGAGGCCAGCCTGCAGCCTCTTACTCAGGACTGGAGGGATCCTGTGCGGGCCATCCCCATGAGGCCACAGAGGCTCGGAGACAGTAAGTACTACACTCAGCATTACACAGCTGGTCCATGGCAGGAGCAGGACCAACACAGACCAGCTTCCCCAGGATCCCTGCAGCCCTCCCTAGGCTGGATTCCCGGTTTTGGAGACATGGAGTACATTTCAAGTTCATGCTGAACCTCTGCCCAGGTGGTCTGACCCTGGCCTCTGCCCACGACCACCCCCCAGCCCTGCTTCTGAGCCTGGAAGGGGAGAAAAGCATCCAAGTGTTGCTCCTCACAACCCCACAGAAGGGGTTTTTCTGGCCTGTGCCCCACCCCCTCTGCTGGTGACTGCAGCCAGGCAGAACAAAACTCCCCAAAGGTCACAGCCACCTCTCTCCTCCCAAGTGCAGAAGCTACCCACGCCCTGTTCCTTGGGCTGGGACCCCAAGAGAGCCAAGTACGGAGGCACCTCATTCAAAACACAGGATCTCAGGCAGCCAGCCAGCCAGCACCCTCAGTGCCCAGCCGCTCCTGGCCCAGCCCCACTGGGCAGAAGTAGAGACCCAGCAGAGCCATCGGCCAGATCCTTCAGGTTCCTGCTGGGTCTGTCTGTCTGTGTGTTCACAAGGCGCACACACCCATGTCTACAGGTGTGAGGGTGTGTGAATCGTGCACACATGTGTCTATGTCAGGGGGCATGTGTGCCTATCTGTGAGTGGCATAGTGAGTGTCTGTGCCGGAGTGGCAAGGAGGGGCACTCCTAGGTTTGTGCCCCAGGCCACTCTCATTAGCTGTGCCACACTGGGAAAGTTACTCACTTCTCTGGGCCCATGATTCCTGGGCCATATGGGGCGGGGAGCAAGAATCATACTGCCTGCACGTGGCAACATGGCAGTGAGAATAAAGAACGTGCCAGGCGCGGTGGCTCACACCTGTAATCCCAGCATTTTGGGAGGCCGAGGCGGGTGGATCACGAAGTCAAGAGATCCAGATCACCCTGGCCAACATGGTGAAACCCTGTCTCTAATAAAAATACAAAAATTAGCTGGGCGTGGTGGCACATGCCTATAGTCCCAGCTACTCGGGAGGTTGAGGCAGGAGAATCGCTTGAACCCAGGAGGTGGAGGTTGCAGTGAGCTAGGATCACGCCACTGCACTCCAGCCTAGTGACAGAGCAAGACTGTCTAAAAAAAAAAAAAAATAGAGAGAGAGAGAGAATAAAGAACACTGGGCACAATGCCTGGCATCCGTTCAACATCTAATACATGTTGGTGCCTGTTATCAGATGTGGCCTGTGCATGAGTGCGTCTGTGGGGGTGACTGTGGGTAAGCTCACCCATTGGTGTTTTCTAAACAAAGAGATGCCACTGTCTCCCATGCCCTGGGCGTTCTTTCTGTGGCAGGAGGAGCAGGTGGGTGGTGAGTCCACACTCTAAGCCCAGCAGCCCAGCTCCAGAGGACTCTCCACTGGTCTCTTAGCAGAAGTAGCATGGGACACGGGCATAAACCTGATTCAAACCTGGGCTATAACCACTCAACTAATGATCTCATCCTACAGGAGAATCAGAACCTCCCTGAGTCTCAGCTTTCTCCTCTGTAAAATGGGGGTGATGATGCTCCCTGCCCCTCAGGGATGCGTGGGGACTCAGTGACAAACAGCCTGACAGGGTTCAGCCAGGGCTGTGCTGTGACGAGCCCAGGTCTGTGCACATGTCTTCCCAACTCTGTATTCAGGAAGGTCTTGGGAGTATGAAATTGGCCACAGTGGGAGTGTTTATACCACAGAAATCAGCAAACACCACAGCTCGGGGTTTGGGGTTTTTTTTTTCCCCGCTAGACAGCTGTCATCAGCACACCACTGGGGTACTTCACAAATACTTGACTCACTCACATTCAGCGAATGCTAAAAGGAACAGTGAAAGGAAAAGCGGCTGGATGCGGTGGCTCACGCCTATCATCCCAGCACTTTGGGAGACTGAGGTGGGCACGTCACTTGAAGCCAGGAGTTTGAGATCAGCCTGGCCAACATGGCAAAACCCTGTCTGTACTAAAAGTAGAAAAATTAGCCAGGCATGGTGGCACACGCCCATAGTCTCAGCTCCTCAGGATGAGGCAGGGTGACTACTGGAACCTGGGAGGCGGGTCTGCAGAGAGCCAAGATTGCGCCACTGCACTCCAGCCTGGGTGACAGAGCTGTCTCAAAAAAAATAAAAAAAAATAGGGGGAAAGGGGAAGCAGAGGCCACTGGGCCACACCCAGGGCATCTTCAGTTCACAGAGGATTGGGAAATGCTTGGTGGGGAAAGGGAAGGAGGCAGCTGGCCTGCTGTGGTAGAGCCTGGGGCAGACACCTGCCCTATGCGCTCCACCAGGCGGCAACCGTCAGTGTCACTGAACTGAAGCTGGAGAAAGGGAGCAGTGAAATTCACTCAGCAGGGGAATGAGAAAGTTTGCTCCCCACTGAAATACTACAGGGCAGCGCAGACAGCCCTGGGATGGGAGTCCAGAGACACATTGCCACGTGACCTCGAGCAGCTCACGTTCCCTCTGCATCTCTTTTCTTGTCAGCAAAATCAGGGGATGAAATTAGCCTGTCTGATTTCACACACCTTGTGTAGATTTCAGGCATTGGGCCCCCAGGGCTGAGCTGTTCTTTACAGCAGTAGTTCTCATCTGGGGGTGATTTTGCCCCCCAGGGAACACTTAACGATGTCTGGAGAATTTGTGGTTGTCACCACTGGACTCGGAATGCGACTGGCATCTAAGTGAATAAAGGCCAAGGATGCTGCGGAACAGCCTGGGACAGGCCCCACAACTAAGAAAGATTGTTTGTTTGTTTGTTTGTTTGTTTGTTTGAGACAGAATCTTGCTCTATCATCCAGGCTGGAATGCAGTGGCATGACCTCAGCAACCTCCACCTCTGAAATTCAAATGATTCTCCTGCCTCGGCCTCCCAAGTAGCTGGGACTACAGGTGCTCACCACCACACCTGGATAATTTTTGTGTTTTTAGTAGAGATGGGGTTTTACCATGATGGCTAGACTGGTCTTGAACTCCCGACCTCAAGTGATCCATCCACCTCAGCCTCCCAAAGTGCTGGGATTATAGGTGTGAGCCACTGTGCCTGGCCCAGGATCTTTTTAAAAAATATTTAATTTAATTTTGTTTAGGGATAGGGTCTCACTGTGTTTCCCAGGCTGGTCTTGAACTCCCAAACTCAAACAATCCTCCTACTTTGGCTTTCCTTAAGTAAGATCTTGTCTCGAACATCCATGAGGTTGAGAAACTTTTTCTCTACCTGCCCCTGAGGTAGAGAAAACTCACTGGACTCTGTTTTCTCATCTGTCAAATTGGGTAAAGAAACCAACCTGCCTATCAGGTGCAAGGCGGTGACAAACCCATGTTCTGGCTCACCTCAAACCCACTTCCAACCCCTCTCCCTTGTCCTCCTCCTCCGTGGAGCCTGGAAAAGCAAAGCACCCCCTTCCCCAGCTTCCCTTGCAGCTAGGGGTGGTCATGTGACACAGTCTGGCCAGTAAGATGAAAGAAGTCTACCCGGGGCTTCTGGGAAGGGGTCTGATTTACTGATAAGGGCCCCATAGCTGGCCTGGCCACCTTCTTCTTTGCACCTCACACTTACAGTCACATATGAAGTGAGGATCACCATCTTATGACATGAGGCCACACACAAGAGAACAAAAGTCAACACACCAAAGATGACAGAGCCTGGGGTCCTGCTAGCCCCATGCGAGGGGACAATGGAAGCCATCCCAGCACACACCAACCCCTTGACTTCTTACAATGCAAGAGAAATAAAGCTCTTTTGTCTAAAGTCACCTGTAGGTTTGGGGTTACTTGCAGCCAAATGCCTTCCTAATGAAGAATGAATGAAACATGATGACATGACATTCTTGGTCTGTCTCTAATCAAAAGCCTTCACAGACCCTACTTTAGAAAACAGATCAAAGGTGAGCTGCTTTGGGAGGACCCACGGCCCAGCCACACAACCTCTACCTCAAACCTGAGAGAGGATCACGTCCCCCATGCCCAGGGCCCTCTGTGGGACACTGGGCCACCCCAGAATTCAGTTTGAAAACCACTGCGCTCTGAGAAAGTGCTCTGTAAACATTGGAGACAATGAGAAACATCATCGTCAGCTGACCGAATGGCACCGCCCTGCAAGCTGGATCGAGCAGGCACAACCCCCATTCCACAGTAAGGAAGTAGCCATAGAGCAATTTCACAACTGCCCAAGGTTACACTGTGGGTCCACCACCACGTGCCTGCCGTGAACGCCACAGAGGCCTCTGCTCTCTGCTGGGGCGTTTCACACTCACAGTCTCTATTAGCCCATGGAGGGCTGCCTGACTCCCCAGTCTTAACGCCGGCTCCCAGGGCTCTGCCCACCTCCTGACACTAGACAGACCAATGACAGAATCCACTGCTTCCTCTGTGACAGCCCAGCACGCCAGGAAGGAGACCGGGGAAGAGGAGGGAGAGGGCAGTGGAGACACTCACCGCCTTGGCTTCTCTCTGCAGGCAGGAGGGCTTCTCTATAAAGGGGAGAAGGGGACAAGTAAGGGACAGTGACTTCCTCGGGCACATCTGTCCTAAGTAGGAGGGCAGAGTGGGGCCCAATAGAACCAGCAGAGAGGCCCGGCCCTGCAGGGAGCAATTGCCTGCCAGACAAGGTCCACAGATGCCCCCACCCAACTCTACCTGCCACCATCCCAACCACTCTCCAACCCCCACCTGTGCCATCCACACTTGCACTGAGGATGCACATCCTTCCCTGCACAGACTCCACCCATCGAGATCTTACCCAGCTCAGAGGCCCCAGGCTTCCTGGAGAGGAATCCCAAATCCCCAAGGCTTCCTGGAGAGGAATCCCGAATCCCCCAGGCTTCCTGGAGAGGAATCCCGAATCCCCCAGGCTTCCTGGAGAGGAATCCTGAACTCCTACCCTTTGAAAAACCCTGATCACCTCTTGCCTTTAGTAATTAAGTTAGCAGAGGTGCCTTCCAGCCCAGGCCCTAAGCTCCTACAGAACAAGGACTCCCATGTCCACCTCTGCCTGACCCCTAAGGCTGTGCCCAGTACTGGACTCACAGGAGGCACCCCACCAAAGCTTCCTGAACAAGTGGATGAAGGAAGGAAGGATGGACTCTTACTTTTCACCTGGGTCATGATGACACAGTTCACCACTCCTATTATTAGTAGAAACAAGGCTGTCACACCCACGATCAGTCCTAGAAAGAAATGAGAAGCTCAGACAGCTACAAAAAAACAAACTCAAATGTACCAGGGGCCAGGCAGGTAGGTCAGGAGCCCCCAAGGTGGTTCGGGTCATTGCAAGTGAGGGGCAAGTCTAGGCTGGAGGTTCTCAGATCCAATTACAGAGCAATCATGTCTGTGGGCCTCATTCAACCTCAGGGCCACCAGTTTGAGACCCCTGACCTGATGCAGTTCTAACCCCAGAAAGGAAGCCCTGGTGGTAACCTGGCCCAGCCCACTGTTCTCCTCTGCCTAAGGGGCTCATCAGAAACAGCAGCAAATTCAGGTGAATTGCTGACCCCATCTCTCCCCAATCCAAGGATTTATTTTATTTTCTTTTCCTTTTTAGAGATAGGGCCTCACTGGTCCCCCAGGCTGAAGTGCAGTGGCATAATAATAGCTGAATGCAGCCTTAAATTCCTGGGCTCATGTGATCCTCCCACCTCAGCCTCCTGAGTAGCTGAGACAACAGGCACCAACCCACCCAAATAACTTTTTAATTTTTTTTTTTTTTTTTTTTTTTTTTTTTTTTTTTTTTGAGACGGAGTTTCGCTCTCGTTACCCAGGCTGGAGTGCAATGGCGCGATCTCGGCTCACCGCAACCTCCAGCCTCCTGGGTTCAGGCAATTCTCCTGCCTCAGCCTCCTGAGTAGCTGGGATTACAGGCACGTGCCACCATGCCCAGCTAATTTTTAGTATTTTTAGTAGAGACGGGGTTTCACCATGTTGACCAGGATGGTCTCGATCTCTTGACCTCGTGATCCACCCGCCTCGGCCTCCCAAAGTGCTGGGATTACAGGCTTGAGCCACCGCGCCCGGCCTTAATTTTTTTTATAGAAATGGAGTCTCACTATATTACCCAGGCTGATCTCAAACTCTTGGCCTCAAGCACTCCTCCTGCCTCCTTGGCCAGCCAAAGCACTGGGATTACAGGTGCGAGCCATTGCACCCAGCCCACCCACTTAAGGATTTTGAATGATAGCACCAGGTGTTGGAGAGAAAGCAGTCTCCCTGCCTCCTGTATCCCAGGACAGGGCACCAGGTCCAGCTCACAGTGGGCTCTCAGAAAAACTAGGGGAAAGAGGAGAAAGAAAAGAAAGAAGGAAGGAAGGAAGGAAAAGAAAGACAAGCAGACAGAAAAAAAGGAGTGAATGAATGAGCCTTCTCGTGACTTACCAACTGGAAGAGCGATGTTGCCAGTGCTCTCTTTAGCTGGGGGGCTGGGGCCCATCGGGATCAGGAAGGAGGTGCTTGGAGCCGTGCGGGGCCCTGGAGTTGGCTTCGTGTTCGGGGATCGTGTGGACACTGGCTTCAGTGGGTGTGCTGGGCCTGGAGCCGTGCTCTGGGTGAGGGACTCCGACAGGCAGACTGCATCCATGCTTGCATTCCCAGGGATGGCCACCAGGTTACATCTGGGGGAGGAGGAGGCTTGGTCAGGAGGCAGCAGAGGACAGAGTGGCTCAGGGTGGCTGGGCTCATTCACAGGACCCAGCAGGCAGGATGGGAGGCTGACAATGTATATCCTCTCGGAGACACTCCCTCCTCTCCCTCCCCCACCTCCCCATGCACCTACCTCGTCCTGCCTTCCAGGGCAAGGTCCTGGCTCTGTGTCCAGGACCCACAGTCACCCAGGGACAGCCCCTCCCTGCTCCTCCAGAACCAAAGGACTCAGCTACTCACCTCTGGTGGGGCCTGCAAATATCTGTGGATGAAGTCGTGCTGGAGAACGTCCCCGGGGCGCAGGGCTTGCACACCACGTCTGATTTTTCAGTTCCTTCGGGGAACGATTGGAACTTGTCAAACACTCTGTGGGGCAGCTGGGCCTTGGCATTAGAGCTCTAGGAGGAGCCTAAGGGGCCCAACAACCTCTGTCTGCACCTCTGCCCCTGACACACACACACACACACACACACACACACACACACGCCTGTACACACATGCACACGACTGGTGGGTAGAGTTGTGAGTTCATCTTCCTGCAGCATCACCTAGCTTTCTAGTAGCTTAGAGCTTGGTCTCATCCATCTCTGGGTCCCCTGGGCCCAGTACACAAGAGGTGCTAATCAGGAGTGCTGGCAGGAAGAACAAACGGCGGACAGACAGATGGGTAGCCAGCGCCTGGCCACCACTGACAGTGTTCCCAGCTGGACTAATGAATGGCCGGATGCCCGTGACACGGCAGGGATGTCTACAAAGGAGAGGCCCCAGGGCATCCCCAGGGACCGCGAGCCCCACCCCGTACCTGGTTTGGCCACGCCGAAGCCCGGGCCGCACTTGCGCAGCGGCGAGCACAGCCGGCACCCCTCCTGCTTGCCCAGCGCGCAGTACCAGCCGGGCATGCAGGCACAGATGCGGTTCTGTTGCTGAGGTGCAGGCTTGAGTTTCCACCTGGTCTAGAGGAGCAAGAGGGCAGCCCACAGTCACACCTGCCTCCGCCACAGCCACGCTGCCCTCCCAGCCGGCCCAGCACCCCGTGCCCCGGACAGCGCTGATCTGCGGGCGGACCGCCTCAGCATGGAGCACACACAACCCGGCCCAGAGTCCCGGAGGAGAACCCGCAGCGCTGCTCCTCGCGGCACGAGCACGCGCACCGCTCTCCCGCGTACCCGCTCCTCAACCCTCACGCGGGCGCGGCTCTCCCACTGCCTGCCCCGTGGGGCGGCGAAGAGCCTTTGGTGAGACAGAAGAGGAGAATGCCAGAGGCAGGGGTGAACAGCGGCTCCTGTGCCCCTTCCAACAACCAGCCTGGGCTGACGCCAGACAGCTGGAAGCTGGGGGCTGGAGCTGGGGGAGGCGATGGTGGGCGCAGGGGTGCGAGGGCCCCTCTCTCCGAACCTACTCACCAGAGCTACAGGGAGAGCCGCAGCTCAAGCACTCGGGAAGCCAGTTCCAGAGCTCGGTGTATGTGCTGTTCTCACAGAAGTCACACACAGTGTCTGAAGTCCTGGTACAGAAGACTTTTGCATGTTGGCCTGAGGAAACAAGGGCCAGAGGTCTCAGCCGGGTGGGCTTCTGCCGGGACTCCGGGCTCATGCACTGTCCCCACAAAGTCCAGAGTTCTGAAGCCCAGCTGGGAAGGCTATTCTGTGGAGTTCCAGTTCCTCGGAATCATCCCCCATCTAGTATTGTACCAGCTCTCAGGCCATCTCTGAACCCCTTCTGCTCAAAAACACATTCCTCTCTGCTCTTTCCAGATGCTTGAACCTCCACCACTCGAGGCCTGTTATCAGTCAATCACACTTGATTAAGAACTAGGTTGCCAGTTTCTTCCTTCTTGATAGACGGCTAACATTCTCTACCTAGGAGCACGAACGACAGCTGGAACAGGTAGTAAGAATGTAGTCCCTGGTACCCTATCAAGGACAAGGACATGGGCCTGGAGAGAGGGCATGCCGGGGATGAGGACACACCGAGGGAAACCTTTAAAAAAAGTTGACTCAGTAACTACTTTTTTTTTTTTTCTTTAGACAGAATCTCGCTCTGTGGCCCAAGCTAGAGTGCAGCTCACCACAACCTCCACCTCTCAGGTTCAAGCAATTCTCCTGCCTCAGCCTCCCGAGTAGCTGGGATTACAGGCACCTGCCACCTCGCCCAGCTAATTTTTGTATTTTTAGTAGAGATGGGGTTTTACCATGTTGGCCAGGCTGGTCTCAAACTCCTGGACTCGAGTGTTCCGCCCTCCTCAGCCTCTCTAGTAACTTCTTAATAAAGAGACCCTTCTAGTTAATAGAAGAAAGAAGAGTCACTTTGCCTGTGGGGTCTTAAGATGGCTGCGGAGGGTGGCAGGTGCTCATATGCCCACCTACATCTCAAGGTACTGGCTCAAAGCCCCCCGTTGGCTCCCAGAGAATAAAATCTAAACTCCTTCCCATGGTCCCTGCTCACTTCCTCCTCCTCCTCCTCACCTACCGTACTCGGCTTGCCTCATCCTGGGCCACACACGCTGGCCTTGCTCTTCCTCAAGCTCACCAAACAGGCTCTGACTTCAAGGCCTTCGCACATGCTGTTGCTTCCTCCTGGCACACTGTTCCCTGTCCATGTGTATGACCTGCCCCCTCACCTCCTGCAGGGCCCTGCCCAAATGTCACCTCCTCAGAGAGACCTTCCCAGACCACCCTGTGTAAAACAAGATGTCCCACTCTGTCTCCCCCGCCTTACCTGACCTTGTCTTTCTACAGCACGAACAGACAGACGGGACCATACAGCTCCTAATGCATCTATCTGCGTCCTCCATTAAAATGCAGAGCCCACGAGGGCAAGGGTTTTGTCTGCCCTGTGCTCTGTGTATTCCCAGGACTTAGAACACACAGCAGGTGCCATATAAACATGACGTGAATGAATACAGAAACAAATAAATGGATGGAGGGCACTGGGAATCAGGCTACCTGGCCTGACTGTGGCTGGGCCTCAGGTCTACCATCTGTGAAATGGGTAGGCACTCACAGAGTCAGTCAAATATGCGCCAAGTGCCTACATGGCATTGGGCCACCTGCTGTGGATTCAGCAGAAAACAAGCCACAATCTCTGCCCTGGAGGGAACACGTAGTGGGAGCAACAGGAAGAGGGACCGGGCTATAATCACACAGCAAGGAAAGAGCTGCCATGGGAACATCGGGGGCCAGGGAGAGCTCAAAGGAGGCAGCACTTGTCTTTCAAGCTGAGTGCTGTGCTGCCTCCTCCGGGAAGCCCTTCCTGACTCCCCCAGGACTAATTTGGGCTCCTCCTCCTCCTCCTCCTCCTCCAGCTGGGCAGTGTGGGGCAGGCAGGCTTCCTGAAAGAGGGGACATCTTCGGCTGAGGTCTAAAGGACAAGTCAGAGTTAATCAGTGAAAGGGAGTTGCGAAGTGTGCCACGCAGAGTTCACAGGCCCAGAAGCAACAAGGAGCACGGGCCAGTGCATAGAACTTGGAGTTCAGTATGAATCAAGGGCCACGCCCCTGCGCCCCAGCCCCTGAACACACACGCTCCTCCAGGGCCCGGCCCCGAGCCCCCAGCAGCTGCTCTCACCCGCCGGACACTGGCTGCAGCACCTCTGAGCTGTCTGGTGATAGTATTCGTTGTTCCGGCACGTGCTCCCGGGCTTTGGGGTGTAGGGTGTAAATGTCACCTGAAAGGAAGAAGGGAAGAATGCCATCAGCAGGGCCGCCCCTGAGTTCCGCTGTGCCTGATGCCCAGGTCCCCGCCCTGCAAATATTTGACCCTCCCCCTGCCAGGCTGCACTGATGATGGATGGGGAGGTTTCTCCCCCTGGAGCAGGGTAGAGGAAGGAGAGTCTGTGGCTTCCTTTACCTCCCCTGCATCCCCGCCTCAGTACCGCATACTCATGTCTGCAGGCAGAGGCACTGAGTCTGCTGTCAGAGGGTGGGGCTGCCTTCAGATCTTCTCCAGTGCCAGGTGATCCCTAACACTACGTGGGGCAGATGCCCAGAAGACAGTGGTCACAGAGAACCGGAGTCCTGAGCACAAAGCCGCCCTCCACCAAGGATGCCTCCCCTTCCCTCCCTCACCAGAAACATCCCTTTGTCTTTTAAGCTGAGTGCTGCCTCCTCCGGGAAGCCCTCCCTACTTCCCGCAGGTTAATTCAAGCTCCTCCTTCTCCTCTGGGCTCTCTTTAAATGTGGGAATATGACCCCTCTACCGGTCATCTCATTGTTCTGGAATGGTTACTTGCTTGGCCTTCCATCCCCTGTGGGTATGTATGCACACACACACACATGTACACACCCACTCGTGGGATGCAGACAGCAGAGGTGGCAGTCTTGTCATCTTCTAGACCCTCAGCCTCTCACAGGGGACCCGCCACAGAGCTGGTACTCATCAAATGGATGTTCGTTGATGACTGTGACAATCGTTGCCATGTACTGTTCTAAGTGCTTCAGCTGCTCGAGTTGGTGGGTGCTGTTGCACCCCTCTCAGACCCCTTCTGCCAGCAGGGCACCCCTCCCCCAGCTGCTGCAGGTGTTGGCTGATAATGAATCCTCCACAGTCTCAAGGTGGGACCCCCTCTGGTACAATTCATGGTCCAGAGCCACCCCTGTGGTATCAGGCTGAAGCTGGTGACAACGTCCCTGCTAGACCCCCTCCCCTGCCCTGTGCTGCCCTGCCCTCCCCTGCCCTGCCCTGCCTGCCTTCCTGGGAGCCTTCCCTAGTAAATCACTTTCACAAAGATCCCTGCCTCGGGCTCTGCTTCTAAAAGACCCTACCTGAGACAGGTCTCAGCAAGAGTTCCCAACCACCCAGTGAAGACAGTTTCCCTACTGCAGCCATTTTACAGAACAGGAAACCGAGGCCTAAGAGGGCAGGTCACCTGGTCAAGGTCCCCGAGCCAGTAAGTGACAGAGAAGGGTTTGGATCTGGGTCCTGCCTGACTTCACAGCTCACAGTCTCGCCCACTGTGCTGGATGCCTCCGTGCAGGGATGAACAACGTGATGAACGAAAAGAGAACGGGGCGCGGTGGCTCGCACCTGTAATCCCAGCACTTTGGAAGACTGAAGCAGGCAGATCATTTAAGGTCAGGAGTTCAAGACCAGCCTGGGGTCTTGCTCAGACTAGACCAGTTCTAGACTAGACCAGTTCAAGTCTAGCAGGGGACTAGCCTGGCCAACACGGCAAAACCTTGCCTCTACTAAAAATACCAAATTATCCGGGCTTGACGGTGATTGCCTGTAATTCCAACTAATCTGGAGGCTGAGGCAGAAGAATCCCTTGAACCTGGGAGGAGGAGTTACAGTGAGCTGAGACTCACTAGTGCACTCCAGCCTAGCTGACAGAGTGAAACTCGGTCTCAAAACAAAATAAGATGGAGAAAAGAGAAAAGCAGACCAGCCCAGAGAAGCTGCAGCCCTGGACAGAGGGGCAGACACAGAGCCCTCCTCCCTCGGGTCTCTGAGTGACCCTCTGGGAGTGCAGGGCGACAGCAATGTCCACTGTGCCTTCCCAGGACCCCTGGCAGCAAGCCCCTGAGTCCTGCCCTCTCTCCTGAGAGATTGGGGTTGACAGTCCAGGCTTTCAGGGACAAGCATTAATTAGCCACCTCTGCCAGGCTGAGAGCAAGCCCAGATCTGAGACACTGACGTGCAGGCAAACATGGAAGTGCACACATCTGCACAAGCAAAGAGGGGTACACACACCCCAAGTCCTTCAGGGCCCCCCACAGATGCATCACCTGGAAATAACCCAAGGGCAGTTCTAGGAGGTCAGAGCCAGGGCCAGCACACCCCCCACTGTATTGCCAGCTGCAAGCACGTGGCCAGTACAAGATTGAGATCAGGCTGGCGCGGTGGCTCACGCCTGTAATCCCAGCACTTTGGGAGGCCTAGGAGGTTGGATCACAAGGTCAAGAGATCGAGACCATCCTGGCCAACATGGTGAAATCTTGTCTCTACTAAAGTTACAAAAATTAGCTGGGTGCGGTGGTGTGTATGTAATCCCAGCTACTCGGGAGGCTGAAGCAGGAGAATCACTTGAGCCTGGGAGGCAGAGTTTGCAGTGAGCCGAGATTGCACCACCGCACTCCAGCCTGGGTGACAGAGCGAGACTCCATCTCAAAACAAAAGGAAAAAAGATTGAGATCCATAACCTTTAGTGAACAAGTGATGATTAGGATAGAGGGAGTTAGAAAGAACTGGTTTCAAATCCTCACTCCACCACTTAATGGCTGTCTGGCCTTAGGCAAGTGCCTTAACCTCTCTGGACTCCAGTACCTAACATACAGGAGCAGAGACAATACTGAAAGTATTTAACAAACCAGACCTTTCACTCTGGACAGCTGAGCTGTCAACAAGCCAGTCCGAGCAGACACCAGCCACGACACCCAACACCGCTGGGCCAGTGCAGACCTGGCCAAATTTCCACCAGGCAAGGTGGCAGGCGGGCTGAGCGTGCCTCCTCCTCCCGTTCCTCACAGCACTGCAGGACTGCCTGGGGTCTGGGGCTGCTGAGCCCTTGGCTGCTCCTATAGCGAATGACAAGCAGGCCGGGAAACCCAGCCGTCTGCCCCTCTGCCCGGCAGGCAGCACCAGCCTGCCCTGGCTGCATGTGCCTTGGCGCTCACAGCTGGAAGCCCTCAGTGGGAATGACCCACGGGAGCTGGGGCTTCCGGCCGCAGAGCAATCTGCCGCTCTTCTGGCTCCCAGGCCTTTGCCCCAGCTGACTTCTGCCCCTGAAACGGCCTGGTGCTTCCTGTGACAAATTCCATGTGCCTTAGGAACCCTGCTCAGGCAGCAGCCTCCCTCCTGAAGGCTCCCAGCCCGCACCCCACCCTGAACGAGTCACCGGGCCCAGAGCCCCCGCCTTGCTCCCTCACGGCTCTCGGCTGACAGCACTGCCATGGGGTTGCCCACCTGGGCCCCCCGCTAGATCGGAAGCCTCCCTGACGCTGCAGGCTGGGGCTTACCCTTTGCTGTTCCCCACAGCCTCGCAGGGCGTCGGTGCTCAGGAGCCGCTAGTCTCAACTGTGGGCTGAGTTACAATGTCCTTTCCTGGAGGGATCTAACTCCAGCACCAGGGCCACAAAGCTCAAACACAGACGCACCTTCCACCCTGACCTGCCCCGGAGGCCCGCCCCACGCCCACTCCACACCCACCCCATGCCCACCCCACGTCCATCGGCTCCTGCGAGGTCTGGGCACGGGCAGTGGGAAGCATGCTGCATCACAGGGTCTGAAGAAGTCACTTCAACGCCCGTCTGAAGCTTCAGTTCGCCTGGGCACGGTGCTCCCATGACCACTCGGCCCCAGTACTCCTCCCCCCATGCCCTGTTTGCCACTGGAGTAGACTCCCAGGCACCCTAAAAAAAAGGAGAAGCCTTCTCAGGGTTTTCCACAGTGTGGGGGCGCTCACTGCTTATGTCCAAAGCACGCGGGGGCACCCGTCATGAACGTCAACCCCCACCCCCGCAAAACAAGTGCAGAATCTCACGGGTGGGCCCTAAGCTGTACCAGTGACAAAAGAAAAAGGAGAAGGAAATCACGTTGATTCTCATGCCCCTTTGCGGAACACACTCAGGATCTCGGCTCCCGGATTGAGCAAGGTGACGGGGTGGGGGGTGGCAGAGGGGCTCACGGCCGAGACCCGGCATCAGACGGCTGCGGGAGCCCCTAACCCAGAGTCACGGCAGCTTCCGAAGCTCCCTCTGCACAAGTCATTCCATTGAATATTAACGGCAGAGGGGCTGCCTGGCCCTCAGCAAACCCCCAAACTGCCTTCCCTGCTGCTGGGCGGTTCCCCAAGACCAAGGGCTGTGCCTACCCCCTCTGATTGCACGGCCTCCCAGACGTAGCTGCCTCCTCCCTCAGATCGCATCTCCCCGGCAGGGAGCGGGTGTACCTCTTCCCTGGCAGCCCCCCACCCCTCAGAGTGGCCAGCACAGGTCTTGTGGGAATCCTGTAGCCCACGGGCTTCATCCCCACGAGTGCCCTTGGGGCAACCAGGGGAACCCCTCACTCCTCCAGGGCCTGAGAACCACAGGGCCAGGCCGGCTCCAGGTGGCAGCAAGAAATCTCACCCTGTCTGGAGAAGGGTTTCCGGTCAGGATCCCAAGGCCTGATGGGAAACAGCCCCACCGTGGCCAAGTTTGGGCTCTCAAGAGCAACAGTGGCCAAGGGCTCCCGGCCGCTAAGGCAGGCAGCTGGACTCCCGTGGCCCACAGGCCTCCCACCTCCTCCCCTCCAGCTTCCTCTCTTGTCTGAAGCCTGGCTGTGACTGGCCCTCCCTAGACTTCCTCCTGGCTCTGTGTGGCTCCAGCCCCTGTAGCCGGCAGAGGGGGTCAGCTCCCTTGAGCAATCTGAGGCCTGTTTATCCTCTTGGACAATAAAAAAAAAACAACCCCACAGCCCTGTCACCGCTAAACAATGAGGAACAGAAAGCCCCTTGGCAAAGCAGAACAGAAGGTCACTCCCTCCACAGCAGCAGTCCCCAGGAGCAGGGGGCTGGGCCCAAACCACAGCCCTGGGAGCCAGTCTGCCTCCGGTCAGCACGGGGTGGGGGGGGCCCAGGAGGTCCCCAAAACAGGGCAAGCATTCTCTAGGAAATGAGGGGCTACGGAAGCTTCCAGTTCTTTCACTTTGGGTTGGGGAGGCTCCAATTCACACCCCACCCACCCCCAT